GATCTCATTATACTAGACTGATTCCATAGAGTCAAGGTAGCCAGGTGAGATAGAAAACAGGCTCCTGCAGCATGTAATACTTCTGTAAAAGAGAGGATTTCAGCCAGTGTAGTTTGTATGACAAAGCGTGTTCTCCTTCAGGGAGAGCACGGTGTTGCGGTGGGGTCTACTGAGGCCACCCCTCTGTTGCTGGGGTAAGTTCTCCAAGATGGCCAGGGGTCAGTGATTAGCTGGCCCGAGTTGCTGGGGGCAAAAGTTATGTCTGCAATTTTGGTGGGAGGGGCAAAAAGGTTTAAATACTCTGCACGCAGCCTCGGTACTTTCTCTTTTGCTGCGTGCAACGGATCAGACACAGCGGAAGAGACTGGTTGTATTTCAGCATTTATCCCTTCCCTTTCACCCTCCTTTAATTGCCTATCTTTGCCTTTTAATTTTACTTTAATTTAATTTTATTATTAGTTTAACATTATCGGACCCCTCTTTTAAATTTAGCGGCTTTCTGCCGCCTCTCGGCGGGGCCGGGGTCGCCGGGCAGGGGGGGAGGATTTGTGTTGGCCTTCCCTGGTGGGCTTTGGGGTAGGCCGCGGCCGTTGGCCCCATACAGCAATTTTGGGGCTTCCCCGCGGTTGTCCAGGGCCTTGCCAGCCCAGTGCCCTCTCCTCTTAATTTCGGCTGCTCCGGCCGTCTTTTTTAGGAAGCCTACGGCCCGATTCTCGGCCGAGGCTCCTTTGAGCCTGCTTTAAACCGCAGCGCATCTGGAGCGCCGTTTGGGAGCTGCCTTAGCCTCAGTGCCGCTGATCAGCTGTTCGGCGGCCGCAGCAGCGTTTCTGGGGTTGCCTGGGTGCGGGGACCTTGCTGCTGCCTTTGGGGGCTCGGAGTGAGTCCCACGATCCCCCCTTACCCCTGGGCGACTCACCTTTTCACTCTCCGCGGGGGCGCTGGGTTGCCGGCGTAGTTTTCTGGGCGCCGTTTTGTCTGGCCTCCTTCGGGCTTTGCCCTTGCCGACGAGGCCCTTTTTCAGCAGGCCGGGACGGTTGCGGCCTTTTTGGCTGGTGCCTGGGCTGGGCTGGTGCTGCCCCAGCTATTTCGGGGCGCTGCGCTCGGCCGTTTTGGCGGGAGCGCCATTTTTGCTGCAATATCGCCCCACAGTGGCCTCCAGTGGCTGATCTGGGTAACTGCAGCTAGTTTTAATAGGCATTTCTATTTGGTTGCCTCTGCTGCCACCTTCTGGTGGCTGGTTTTATTGCACCCCTTTTGGAAAATAAATAAAATCTGATTTAATTTATTTAATAATTTAGTTACTTTAGTGGCTCTTGTATTCAGTTAATTTAATTATCATTGGTTCTGGGGTTGTCTAAACTGTCGTGAGGGCGTACGTTTGGCTGACGTGCTTTTTGCATCTTGGGGCTATTTAATTTCTTGAAATTTTGTTTTATTTTAATTATATTCAATTGTAGTTTTCTTTGGTTTCCTTTTCTTTCTCAAGCAGGTATGGCCCCGAAAAAGGCTGGCAAAAAGGCCCGCTGCTACCCGGACTTCAAAGCGGCCAATAAAAGGCCCTTCTCAGGCGCTGCGATCTGGCCCAACCAGACAGGCACCCAGCCTGCAATCCTTAGTAAACCAGGATGGCTGGTGATCCAGCAGCTTTAACACATCTTGCAGCTGAGGTGGGACGGCCTCATTCGGCGATGCTCAACGCAGTCCTCTGCCCCAGGGGGCCAGCTTCCACGGTTGGCCCATCTTCACCTGCATCTTCATCTTCTAGTGAAGATGGGGGAGAGGCATTAGTTGCTGGGGTTTCAGTGCCGGCTTCTCAGCCATCACGGCCCCCGGTCTTACCTGTTGCGCAGGTTGGCTCACGGGGCCGAGACGTACCACACGCCGTTCGGCTGGGAGGCAAGCCCTTATGGCATCTCCCAGCTGGGTGGTTTCGCCTACTCAGTCTACTGTGGATGCATTGCCGGGGCCTAGTCATTCACGTAGGGTCTCTTCTCAGTCTGTTCCAGGTACTTCACAGCAGACAGTAGACTTGGAGTCCTCGGATGAGGATAGTCTTCCTACTCCTGTGAGAACATCATCTGGGGGGCATCGTCGCCGCAGGAAGAGGACCAAGAAGCGTGCCAAAAGGAGGAGGGCTGACACTTCATCTTCTTCTTCTTCTGGTACGTCTTCGAGTTCTGATGATGAGACAGAGGCCTCTTTAGACCTTTACTGGGGTTTTGGTGAAGAGGCAGGGGGGCTTCCCAAATGGATTTGGGAACGGAGGGCCAATTCGCACCGAGCAAGGTACGGTGCGGTCCAGGATTGCCGTGATGGCGTGCTGATGCCTGAGGTGAAAGTCTCCACTAATTCTGTGAGGGACATTATACCTGGGGCTCATTTGTCAACCAAGTTGCGGGCTAGAATTTTAAACGGCCGATACGTGGATATATTTAAATTAGCACCCCCGCCTGCAAGTCCTGATTCTCAGGAGAAGGACGATTCTTCCAAAAAACGTGCTGGGTCTAAGAAAATGGAGAAGACGTTTGAGCGCTGGCTCGATGGCTTCCAGGTTTTTGCTGGAATCGTAGTAATGGCTTATCCACGCAGAGCACATCACTTGATGGTCTATTTGTCCATTGTGCGCTCTGCTTTCACTATGGCAGGACAATTGGCTGCGATAGCGTATGATGTAAATTTTAGACGCAGGGCAGCTAAGATTTCTTCGGCTCGCTGGGATCGTAAGGATTTGGATGTGTGGACCACCTACGTGGTTCCACACATTGAAAAGAAAGCCCTGGAACAGCAGAAGCCGAAGGCGGGTCCATTCAGACCCATTCGCAAATTTACTTGCTGGGATTTTAACAAGGGTTCCTGTCAGCGCCAGTCCTGTAAATTTTCCCATGTGTGTGACAAGTGTGCCGGGGGTCATCCTGCTTCCACTTGTTTGGGCGGTCGGCGGCCCTTTCGTGGGGGAAAAGGGGGCTCCCAGCAGCCCCCAAAGGCTGTCACTCCTGCCTCCACCTCTGGAACAGGGAAGTAGTGCTTTGACGGTCCTGGCTTATACTCCAGTGCGTTTGTCAGCACTAATTCCTTGGTTGCAGGCTTACCCTAAAAAGGAGGCTGCAAATTATTTGCGTGAAGGTTTTTCTTTAGGTTTTCGGATTCCTGTAGCCACGGCTCCCGAGGCACGGAATCCCCTTAATCAAAAGTCAGTTCGTGAAATGCCAGAGGTGGCGCGCAAGAAGATTGAGAAAGAGGTGGCCCTACATCGTATGGCTGGCCCTTTCTCAGACCCCCCTTTCCCTAACTTACACATATCTCCACTGGGTATTGTTCCCAAGAAAGCTCCGGGGGAATTTCGCCTGATTCATAATTTATCTCATCCTTGTGGCACATCAGTAAATGATGTTATTCCTCCGGAGCTTTGTTCAGTGAAGTATGCTTCTCTTGATCAGGCAATCAAGATGATCAGGAAATTTGGCCCAGGCGCCTTGCTAGCTAAATGCGATATAGAATCTGCATTTCGCTTGCTACCAATTCATCCAGAGGATTATTGGTTGCTAGGTTTTCAGTTTGAGGGAAAATTTTATGTTGACAAGGCCATGCCTATGGGATGCTCAATAGCATGTGCTGCTTTTGAGTGTTTTAGCACCTTTTTGGAATGGGCCTTGCGTGTTAAAACCGGCCTGGTAGGCGTGTCGCATTATCTTGATGATTTTTATTGGCCTCTGCACATGACACCGGCGATTGTGTGGTACTGCTGAGAGCCTTTGCTTCCCTTATGGAAGAATTTGGGGTACCGTTGGCAGCTGATAAGACTGAGGGCCCATCTACCCAATTGACCTACTTGGGTATCCAATTGGATACTGTGTCACAAACCTCTAGCCTTCCACGCGATAAAATACTTACCCTCCGGAATGTTATACAGGAGCTGCTTCCTTTAAAGAAGGTAACTTTGCGACAAATGCAATCCTTGCTGGGACACTTGAACTTTGCATGTAGGGTGGTGGCCCCTGGCCGCCCATTTTGTTCACGCTTGGCTAGGCTTACAGCGGGTTTAAGGGCCCCGCATCACAGGGTGCGTATGTCTGCGCAGGTTCGCGAGGACCTCCGGATTTGGTTAGAATTCTTGGAAGAATTTAATGGCGTGTCTTTGTGGCAGGATGTTTTGAACCTCCACAATGATTTTCAAGTGCACTCTGATGCTGCGGGTTCTCTGGGTTTTGGTATCTATTGGAAAGGTAGATGGTGCGCTAGGCGCTGGCCAGCTGCTTGGCAGGGGGAAGCGATCACGCGGGACTTAACGTTTCTTGAGTTTTTCCCCATTGCAGTAGCTGTGCATTTATGGGTCGACGAGTTCAGGGACCACCGAGTTTGTTTCTGGTCCGACAATCAGGCCGTTGTGAACGTGCTGGCAAAACAGTCATCTCGCTCCCCCAGGGTATCTGCCCTGTTGCGGGCATTCGTTTTGCATTGTTTGAAATTTAATATTGTATTTTCTGCACGTTTCATCCCTGGGATATCTAACGAGATTGCTGATGCTCTATCCCGTTTTCAGATGGAGCGATTCAGGTCTCTGGCTCCAGAGTCAAGGGCGCGTCCGGAGTATTTCCCGGAGCATCTTTGGAACCTTGGCAGCAATTAGTATTGCAGGGAGTAGCCGCCTCCATTTCTTCATCCACTTTGGGGTCTTATAAAAAAGCATGGACTGACTTCTTAAAATTTAACCAGTCAGTCGCAGGCAGCATATCTTCCCCTCCCTCCACTTCTCAAGTGTTACAGTATTTGGCACATATGTTTCAGCTGGGCCGAGCTGCTAGGACACTGCGGATTCATTCCGCAGCAATTTCCTTTTTTAGTAAATCATTTTTCAACAAGGATCCTTGTGCCAAGTTTGTAGTGCGCAAGGCCTTGGAAGGTTGGGGTCGTCTAGCTCCCCCTAGCAAAGCAGTTCGGCAGCCTATCACTTTTGAGTTGCTGAGCAGAATGCGTGCCAAATTAAGGGTTGTTTGTTGGTCTAAGTACGAAGCCCGCCTTTTTTCAGCGGCCTTTTCGATTGCATTCTTTGCCGCATTACGGGTGGGGGAGGTGGTCATGGAGGCTAGGCAAGGTGGTGGTTCCAGGGGGCTGCTGCTTCAGGATGTATGTTTATCCCCTGTGGAAGTGAGAATTGTGGTGCGTAACTCAAAAACGGACCAATTGGGTCGGGGGGCAGTTATGAGGCTCCCCGTAACTGGGGAGCCGGGTCCTTGCCCAGTTAAGGATTTGAGGAAATATTTAGCAGTGAGGCCCTCAGGGGAGGGTCCACTGTTCATTCACGAAAATGGTCGTCCATTGGCACGGCATCAGTTTTCCAAGGTAATGCGTAAGGTTATTGCTGCTTGTGGGGTCCCCGCTTACGGTTTCGCACCCCATTCCTTTCGCATTGGCGCTGCTACGACAGCAGCCCATTGGGGGTTGTCGGCCCACAGGATTAAGGACTTGGGCCGGTGGAAATCTGATGCGTTCAAGGGTTATGTGCGGAAGAGTTGTTGAAGTATTGTATTTGATGTGTGCTTCTTCTCCACCTTGTAGGTCTCGCTCCAGTCAGTATTTGGATTGTGGGGCACAGCATCGTGTACTGGGCTGGCATCAGAGCGAGGCAGTCTGGAAGGGGACCGGATCTTGGCTTCCCACAGCACGTACAGGTGTCGTGGATATCCAGACGGGGAATGCGGTGGAGTGAATTCATCCCACTAATTAAGCAGAGGGTGTTTTCACATGGCCCCCCTTTGGCAATTGTGGTGCAGTTGGGGGAGAATGATATGGCAAAGATTGATTGCTTTACTTTGCGATCCATGATTCTAAAAGACTTGGAGGAATTGGTGACCTTGATACCCACCGTTAAAATATTTTGGTCACAATTGCTGCAAAGGATCAATTGGCAGGGCATTTCTCAACCCAAGGCTGCTGAAAGGGCCAGGAAGCGCATTAATTCCGCAGTGAGCAAGAGGGTAACGGAATTGGGTGGGTTGGTGATTTCCCACCCGGATATTGCCTTCAAGGCTCTGGCCCTTTACCGCAATGATGGGGTACATCTTTCCGAGCTGGGGAATGATGTCTGGTTGGATGCGGTAATTGGTGGGTTGAAAAATGGGTTGGGGTTGTGAGTGGTTGGCGGCGAGCGTAAAGGGCTCGATTGGCGGTTAGGCATTGGTTATAAATCTGGTGGAGGAGGGGTTAGGATAGGCTGGGCCTGCCCCTCCATGGAGGGGTTAGGATAGGCTGGGCCTGCCCCTCCATGGTTGCTGCGGAAAGGGAATTCCGTTAAAGGAATCCTGGGGCTTGCCATCTTTTCGTCCAATCCCTGGAATGGGACTAGGGCCGGCAAGCCTTCGGGGAGCAGGCGGGTGAGAATTGAGGGCCTGTGACTCAGCTCCAATTTTCCCCGACTTGCTTTCCCCCGCACTGTCTTTCGGTGGTGCCCGGAAGACAGTTCTGTCCCCAGGCGGGGGGACAGATAGTCTTAACCAATGCCTAAACAACCACTCACAGTTTGTATTTTAATAAAGTTGTGGCCAAAATCATGCCAAAAATCTTAAACAAAAATTACGTGTCCGTTGTGAGTTATTTTGGGGGGTGGATTGGGGACCTCGACACGCAAAGCGTGTTCTCCTTCAGGGAGAGCACGTGTTGCGGTGGGGTCTACTGAGCCACCCCTCTGTTGCTGGGTAAGTTCTCCAAGATGGCCAGGGGTCAGTGATTAGCTGGCCGAGTTGCTGGGGCAAAAGTTATGTTGCAATTTTGGTGGGAGGGGCAAAAAGGTTTAAATACTCTGCACGCAGCCTGGTACTTTCTCTTTTGCTGCGTGCAACGGATCACCCGCCCACCCGCCCTAGAGTAAGGGGTTGTTGCATTGACCTTGCTATGCCTGTCATGGGGTCGTCTGCCTTTGAGCGGGGGCCTGGTAGGAATTTTTCCACCTGGCAAATTGGCCGGCTGGGTGGTTTTTGCCTACTGCGTAGCAAATCGTCACAACTTGTAAGGTTGTGGTTAGGCATTGGTTATAAATCTGGTGGAGGAGGGGTTAGGATAGGCTGGGCCTGCCCCTCCATGGAGGGGTTAGGATAGGCTGGGCCTGCCCCTCCATGGTTGCTGCGGAAAGGGAATTCCGTTAAAGGAATCCTGGGGCTTGCCATCTTTTCGTCCAATCCCTGGAATGGGACTAGGGCCGGCAAGCCTTCGGGGAGCAGGCGGGTGAGAATTGAGGGCCTGTGACTCAGCTCCAATTTTCCCCGACTTGCTTTCCCCCGCACTGTCTTTCGGTGGTGCCCGGAAGACAGTTCTGTCCCCAGGCGGGGGGACAGATAGTCTTAACCAATGCCTAAACAACCACTCACAGTTTGTATTTTAATAAAGTTGTGGCCAAAATCATGCCAAAAATCTTAAACAAAAATTACGTGTCCGTTGTGAGTTATTTTGGGGGGTGGATTGGGGACCTCGACACGCAACTCAAGGAAATGCACTTCCTACCTCACTGAGTAGAAAGCGTTTCAGAAACATTTTTACTTTCAGTGCTTTGACTTCCAAGCGATACAATTTCTTTCTTTCTCTTTCTTTCTTCTTTCTTTCTTTCTTTCTTTCTTCTTTCTTTCTTTCTTTCCTTCCTTCCTTCCTTCCTTCCTTCCTTCCTTCCTTCCTTTTCAAGTTTATACATTTCACTAATTTTACAAGCATTTTGACATTTCAAAACTTGGCTTCCTTCCCCCTCTTTCTACGGTTCCTTAAATTTATTTTTATTTTTTATTTTATTCTTCTTCTGCATATCCAAATTAACTTAATTTGCTCATTTGTTCATCTTCTATAAATATATACTCTTATGAAACTTCAGCTTATTACAATAATCCTGCCAATGTTTTTATCAGTTTGCAATTAATCTGAAAATATTCAATAAACCATTTCAATTCTTTTATGAAAAATTTGTTATATTGATTTCTTATTCTTTCGGTAAGTTTTGCCATTTCTCCATATTCCGTAAGTTTTTGTATCCATTCTTCCTTTGCTGGGACTTCTGCAGGAAAGGAATCAAGTGATACAATTTCTTAACAATAAACCTACATCTAGAGTCAAATTGAATGGTAATATGTCTGCCACCTTTCCTTTGACTCAGGGAACCAGACCAGGACACACACTTTCACCTTTTGCTTCTTAATATTCATTTGCAGCCCCTGGGTTGTGCTATTAGACAACAATGTGAGATTCATAGAGCAGTTCATAATTCAGTTGAACACAAATTAGTGTTTGTTGCAGATGACATTCTTTTGCTTATTTCGGAACCTCAGACTAGTATTCCCATCTTGATACACATGATAGAAGCTTTCGGTAAAATATCTGGTTATTCTGTTAATTGGTTCAAATTTGCACCAATCAGTCTGGCAGGCCATTGCTAAATGAAATAGCAAACCATCATGCCCTTGGGTGCGCAGTCTCTCCAAGGGTTTTGCAGGAGTTTTCCACAATATTTTTAAAGGATTTTAAAATATTCCAATAGGCAAATTTACTGCGCTTTCCCTCCATGAAGCTTATCTTTCAATTGCTCCTAAGCGTGGCATGGCTCAGGGATTTTTGATATACTTTGGTCTGTTGATGTGTTATAACCAAATAGATTGCTATAATATGCTATTAAAGATGATTCTCCCCTTCTGGAAAGTCATTGCATTATAATGAATTATAACCCCATATTTTGGCATATAGTGTTTCAGTCTGCAGTCTATCCTATCAACACAAACTTTACAGAAAGGTCACCTGGGACAGGATTTCAAACTCTACAGCATGAAAGTTTCTTGTAAGGAAAGGGTTTTTATTCTTTTAATTGGATGATAACTTCAAGGAGCAGTACTGGAATTTTGACATGAATATATCTGTAAGAGCCCGAATAGAATTTACTGGGCAATGTGGAAGTCCCAATCCTTTATCTTCCTCCAAAGTGAGGATTGGATGATGATTTGACCAATTCTTTTTCCAATGTTCACCTCACTTTGCCACATTTGTGCATTAGTCTACGATAAAACAAAATAAAAGTTCTCATTAACATTTTCCAACATTTCAGTGTGTATCTCACTTTGTTGTTGTTTAGTTGTTTAGTCATGTCTGACTCTTCGTGACCCCATGGACCAGAGCATGCCAGGCACTCCTGTCTTCCACTGCCTCCTGCAGTTTGGTCAAACTCATGCTGGTAGCTTTGAGAACACTGTCCAACCATCTCGTCCTCTGTCGTCCCCTTCTCCTTGTGCCCTCCATCTTTCCCAACATCGGGGTCTTTTCCAGGGAGTCTTCTCTTCTCATGAGGTGGCCAAAGTATTGGAGCCTCAGCTTCACGATCTGTCCTTTCAGTGAGGACTCAGGGCTGATTTCCTTAAGAATGGATAGGTTTGATCTTCTTGCAGTCCATGGGACTATCAAGAGTCTCCTCACCCACCATAATTCAAAAGCATCAATTCTCCGGCGATCAGCCTTCTTTATGGTCCAGCTCTCACTTCTGTACATCACTACTGGGAAAACCATAGCTTTAACTTTATGGACCTTTGTTGGCAAGGTGATGTCTCTGCTTTTTAAGATGCTGTCTAGGTTTGCCATCGCCTTTCTCCCAAGGAGCAGGCGTCTTTTAATTTCGTGACTGCTGTCACCATCTGCAGTGATCATGGAACCCAAGAAAGTAAAATCTCTCACTGCTTCCATTTCTTCCCCTTCTATTTGCCAGGAGGTGATGGGACCAGTGGCCATGATCTTCATTTTTTTGATGTTGAGCTTCAGACCATATTTTGAGCTCTCTTCTTTCACCCTCATTAAGAGGTTCTTTAATTCCTCCTCACTTTCTGCCATGAAGGTTGTGTCATCTGCATATCTGAGGTTGTCGATATTTCTTCCGGCAATCTTAATTCTGGTTTGGGATTCATCCAGTCCAGACTGAACCATTTCATAGCAAGTGCCCTGATTCCAGAGAGAGAGATCCAATCATTGGCTCATGGAGTTAATGTAGATGCGAATACCCCATCATTACGGTGCCCATCCCAGAGCCATAAAGCTGTCTGGGTGTATGTTTTGATACAAATGAAGATGCCTACAGGCACCCTGGACTGTCAATTCTTCTTCTTCTTCTTCTTCTTCTTTTTAAAAAGTGACTACTACAGATAGATGCTGCCCCCTGATGAATAACAAGCATGAAACATTCTCGGCTAGTTCACCAGTAGGAATCTGCGGAGGATTCTAATGGTGTGAGGCAGCATCCATCCCCTATGCCCCTGTCGAGAAGCTGTCTGTTTCAGGAAATTGTGTGCAAGAATAGGGGAAGCAAATGACACACACTGTTCAGTATGTTGCAGTTCATCTGGGCACCACCTATAAATATAATTAATTTTATACAGGTTAAAAATGGTTGTAAACTGTCAGCAAGGTATATGATGCATAAAATGGCCTTCCAGAAAACAGTTCTACAGTAAATTGTTTTTTGTTCATAATGAAGCCATATATAATCTACACAATGAGGCAAGCTGAGCCCACAGGGAACTGTTTCCCAGCATCTAAACCTGCTATTATTACCTCATTATTTTTTATTTTCTTCCCTGCACAATCCCCTTTGAATGTTTTTTAAATGAAATGTATGCTGGGTTGTTTTTTTCTTCTTCTGAAGAAGAAATACTCTTCAAAAGAAGCTGGGTCTGGAAATGCATACATTGCACTGATCCTAACTATTCTGCATATTGTGATTTTATGACTTTTGCAGATGCAACAGAGGTAGCAGGAGGAAAGAGCTACAAAGTGTATAGGGAGGCAGTAAGCAGTGTGGGGACGCGGGTGGCGCTGTGGGTAAAAGCCTCAGCGCCTAGGGCTTGCCGATCGAAAGGTCGCGGTTCGAATCCCTGCGGCGGGGTGCGCTCCCGTTGCTCGGTCCCAGCGCCTGCCAACCTAGCAGTTCGAAAGCACCCCCGGGTGCAAGTAGATAAATAGGGACCGCTCTGGCGGGAAGGTAAACGGCGTTTCCGTGTGCTGCGCTGGCTTGCCAGATGCAGCTTTGTCACGCTGGCCACGTGACCCGGAAGTGTCCTCGGACAGCGCTGGCCCCTGGCCTCTTAAGTGAGATGGGCGCACAACCCTAGAGTCTGTCAAGACTGGCCCGTACGGGCAGGGGTACCTTTACCTTTAAGCAGTGATGTAAGAGATATGGTGTCTTGAGGGAAAATAATAATAAAGC